CCTCTCTTCGCCCCTGAGGTTGACACCTTTAGCTCCTTGTGTGACTGTGAGCATGTGGCGTTTGTCTTTCTGTGCCTGGCTTAGTTCACTTACCCAAGATCGCTTTCTTCTCTGAGGCTGAATGTATTCCACCACGTGGCGGTACCATGCTTTCTTTGTCCGCCCCTCTCTTGATGGGTGGCAGGTGGACTCCAGATCCCGGAGGTTGTGAAGAGCACTGCCGTGGTGGGCTGGCATGCCAGTATCTCCTGGACGTGCTGATGTCGCTGCCCTCGAGTAGGTGCCCAGAGCGGCACGGCAGCGTGACATGGTAATTTTTAATTTTTTGAGGACCCTCCATATTGTGCTCAATTACGGCTCTGCTAAGTTACATTCCCACAGTACTGAACAGGAGTTCTCCTTCCTCCATATCCTCCGCAGTGTTCATCAATCTTTGTCTTTTTGATGACAGCCGTTCTGGTTGTGGCGCTGTCTCCTTGGACGTGTGCTTCTTCACAGTTAGAGGAGAAGTGCTACAAATATTATCTTCAACAAGGAGCCGGGGAGTTAGCTCAGTAGAATAAGTGCTTCCCTGGCAAGCGCAAGGGCCTGAGTTCAGTCCTCGGTTCCACAAAAAAAAAAAAAATTATCTTCAACAAACTCAGGGGATGCGGCTTCTGAAGACATGGGCCACAATGTGCTACTGTAAAGTTTTTCAGAGGATTCTGGTGCAGCCAGGCCCACCCAACTGGCTGGCCAGAAGGATGACTCCTCACCCCCTTCCAGATGCGACCCTGGGGGTGTTCCATGTCCGCTCCCACCTGGGCCAGTACATGATGACCTATGATGATGCCATGTTGGCGTGTTCCTTCGAAGATGCAGTGTTGGCCACCTATAGCCAGCTCTCCTATGCCCAGAAGGTGGGTCCCAGGGAGTGGGCACTGCGCAGACAGCATCTGCAGGGGAGGAGGTGCTGGTTCTTCAGATGGGAAAGGCGTAGGCTGTTGGCTTTTGGGGGTCAAATACAGGAAGCTCCTGGAGCTATAGCTCATCGTGTCCAGTGTCAGTCATCTGCTATGTCAAGTGCTGTTTTTGAGTGCTTTGCCGGCATTATTAACCATCCTTACAACATCCTTGTAAGAAGTTTTATAGCAAGGGAAGCTGAGGCATGGAAACGTCAACCAGAATGTCTAACGTCTCCCAGCCTGGAGATGGTAGATCCACCTACTACCTTTCTTATTGCTGGGACAAAATACCCAACACCTGCAACTCACAATTCCACTGAGTGCAGCCCGTTCCAAGGCAGGACAGCGTGGTGGAGGAGATCTGACTGGCTCGTGGCAGCCAGGAAACAGGGAGAGAATGGAGGAGCCAGCGACAAGTCACACAGCCAGCGATACACACCTTGGAACACAGGCTCTTTGGGGGGCGTTTTAGGTCAAGTCATAAGGGCCCAGTACCCACAGGAGCCTGCCTCAAGAGTTTATTCTTGACCATAGCATCCAGCTGCCAAAGCGAGGCAACAGCTGGCAGTGTAGACCTCACCACTTGAACCGGAGCAAGCAGTGTGCAGAGCCGAGGTCTGTTCTCTCCAGCTCCACACCAGTTGGAGCTGTGTGACTGCGGGCTGGGACAGAAATGCAAGGGGCCGTCCCAGTCCCCAGCAGGGAGGGGCTGGGGCTCTCTGCTCAGGCTGCTCCCTACTTAGCCTCTGAACCCAGAAGCCTGCCCAGTTAGAAAGGCCCGCACCCTGGCATCGCCTGCTGGTGATTTCTCACCAGAAACAGCAGCGACTGTCCACAGGGTGTGACTGCAGGGCCCTTCCCCCAACCTCCCTCTCCACCAAAGCACTCTCCAGCCCTGATATGACTTTACCTCAGATACCACGACCTGGGGCTCCGAGGGCCTGAGTCTGCTCTCCTGCCTGCTCACCTGCGGCTGTGGCCAGGCCACGGAGCTCCGCTGCTGCATGGCATGCTCACGGAACCATCAGCAGCACAGCCCACGGGAGGAGCTCAGCTCAGTGCAAGATGTAGAGTGGACTGCCTGGCTCTAACCTGCTGCCTGCTGCCGGGACAGCTGAACCACTTACTTCTCTTTGCCTCAGTTGCCACAGTACCGTAGCAGGGTCTGAAAATTCCTCCTTATAGGGTGGGTGTGAAGGCAAAAGGTGGCGGCACCAGAAAAGTGCTCGCAAGAGAATGTGGCCCCAAAGAAATTCTCCAGTGAGAATCTGCTGGTGGTGATTATAAAGAAAAAGAAGATGCTGCATTAGACTTTCGTCCTCAGAATTTTGTTAGCTCGTAACCAGAAAAAAACTTGCACTGGGGTAATTGACTGATTGCAATCTTTGGGTCTTTTTGTGAACGCATTTGTGGTTCCTAATGCAGCTGGTCCCTATGCATGCTGCACCTTGATCATCGCCAAATCCTTCCTCAAGAAAGGGAAGAGGAATAGACAAGGACTTGGACACCTGTAAGAGGAATGGGCACCACACTCATGCATTCAGTGGTTTGATCAACAAAAATTTAGTGACCAGCCAGGCGTGGTGGTACATGCCTGTAATCTCAGCACTCAGGAAGCTGAGGCAGGAGGATGGCTGCAAGTTTGAGACCAGCTTGGGCTACATAGTAAGTTCAAGGCCAGCCTGAACTGCAGAGTGAAACCCTGTCTCAGAAAAGACCAAAACAAAAGACAAAAAAAATAATTAGTGAGCAGGAGGGATTCAGAAACTGAGCAAGAGTTCCCCAACAGACAAGAGACAGCGCTGACCCACAGTGCTTCTGTGTCACCACAGGCGGGGTACCACCTCTGTTCTGCGGGCTGGCTGAAAGGCAGGCGTGTCGCCTATCCCACAGCCTTTGCCTCCCCAAAGTGTGGTGGGAACGCTGTGGGCATCGTGGACTACGGTATCAGACCCAACGTCAGCGAGACGTGGGACGCCTTCTGCTACAGCATGAAAGGTAACTGTCCCAACCCAACCGGCCCAGCCAGTCTCCCAAGGTAAGCCCCTGTCTCACTGGGAGTGGGACCCCACGTGCCTCTGCTTCCAGAAGTGAACTGCACCTGCAAGATGGGCTACGTGGGAGACGGCGTCATGTGCAATGGGAACCTGCTGCAAATCCTGATGTCCTTCCCCTTCCTCGAGGACTTCCTGACAGTAGGTGTCACACACAAGGGCTGCCTTATAGCAACTAGCGGAGGCACAGGAGCTGGAAAGAGGGCTCAGGCTCGCTGTCATCATGGCTAAGACTTGGGGGTCAGGCTATAGCCTAGACTCTTCTCTGCACTGAGGTGCAGTGCTCCACACTCATGACTCGGAGGACGTCCTGTGCCTCGCAGTTCAGTCCATGGTGGGCCAGCTCCCAAGAGGAAGCAGTGGACGAGGGCCTGGCAGAGGATGGCTGGTCACAGCATGACGGCCAGGAAGAGAGGAGGACAGGGAGATGAACCCTTCTAGGCCTCACCCTTCTCTTCCAGCAACAGCCTGCCTCCTAAGGGCAGGTCAGCTCTGGGCTCCCAAAGTCCAGCCACTCTCCAGGAGCCCCAAGTGTGAGCACAAGTGCGGGCACAGCTCTTGGGGGACATCAGGTATTGGCCCTAATAGGCGCCTTGTCTGAATTTGCACCTTGTACACAAAGAACCTTAGGACACAGCCTAGCACCCCAGAACTGAGCTCAAATTCAAACTGAAGGGTCCTGGCCTCCCATCATCCTTTGTGGAGGCCAACAGGCATCCAGTGCCTGAGACACTATTCCCAGGATCTCCGGGGTGGTAGGGTCTAGGCATAAATGAGACTCAGGACCTGGAATAGGACGCCTTTGTGCACAGACTAAAGGAGTCCACCCTGCTCATCCAAAAATCGCAGTTGCCATGGCATGCTGGAGACATTTCCGCTGATTGGCTACTGCAGCATTTCAGAGCAAAGACAGCAACAGAATAAAACTCCCCAGCAAACGACTCCCCTTCTCCGGGCCTCGGGAGCCCTGTCTATGCAGGAACAAAGTTCAGATCAGGAGAGCAAGGTGTATCAGTGAACAAGAGACCCAGAATAAAGAGAAAGGTAAACAGCACTCAGTGCTAGAAGGCGATGCCTATGGCGGGGAAGGGAAGCATGGAGCAATGAGGGAAGCGTGCAGGACCCCCTTCTGCCTTGGAGGGGAGGCAGTCATGGGGAGACGGTGCCCACGCAAAGCATAAACCACAGAGAGCGACAGGCCTGGGGTGACTGCTCCCTGTAGAAGGACTGCTCCAGCCACCTTGTTGGGAGTGGCTTGCACAGGGCCATGGCTTGGGTCTGTGAGATTTGCTGAAGAAAGGAAAGATCTCCTAGCAGGAGCCTGACTGGAGGCTGGAGTCAGGGTAGCCCTGGGTGTGTCATACTCTGACACCCTCCACCCCGCCGCAGCACCGCTGGGCTGCCCGCTGACCTCATCTTCCTCTCCGCAGAAGGTGCTGGCCTACTCCAACAGCTCAGCCCGAGGCCAGGCATTCCTGAAGCACCTGACAGACCCAGCCACCAATGACACGTTCTTTGTACCACATAACAACGTTCTCGCAGAAAACAAGGTGCGTCAGGCTCCCCAGGGACCCCAGTGAGGTACTGGTCACCATGTCAAGGCGGGGTCACAAGTGACCCTGAAACGTGGCATCCCCACAGCTATCAAACAGCAGGTCAGCTGTCCCTCCCTCTGGCCTCACATGCTGTGATCTGAGGTCAGCCCTTGGTGGCTACAGCAGGACCCCCGACTGTCCCCGTACAGCCTCCCAGGAGAGCTCTCACAGCAGTGGCAGGAATGTGGGGAGCCCGGTCTGCCAACGATTTCCAAATCTTTGGTCCTGTTTGTTCACATGCAACCAACCAACAGGCAAAAAGACTGGGAGAGGTTAGCTGGGGGTGGTAGTGCATGCCTATAATCCCAGCACTTGGGAGGCTGAGACAGGAGCGCTGTGAGTTCCAGGCCAGCCTGGGCTACATAGTGAGGCCGTGTCTCAAAACAAAATAAAACACTGCCTTAAGAATACAGGGAGAAGGGCTGAGGAGACAGCTCAGCAATCGAAGCATCTGCCTGGAAAATGCAAGGACCCAGGTTCAGAGATCGATCCCTGTTACACATGCCGTGCCAGCCCCGGAACTGGGCGTGATGGTGCATGCCTGTAGTCCCAGCGCTCTGGAGGCTGAGTCACGAAGATCACTATGAGTCCAGACTGTATAGGGAGACCCTATACCAAATTAATTAATTTATTGACAACAACAACCAAAGAAGATTACAGGAAGAGGTGAAAAGCCAGGGCCATTGACACAACCGAGCCACCACACCAAGCCTCCCCTTGATGTAGAGGAATTGATAGATGTCTTAGCTACTTCCGCCTAACTGGACCAAAGTACCCAACACCTGAAAATTAAAGGGGGTGAGGCATACCTCGGCTCCCAGTACATCGTGAGCTGGCTCCAAGGCAGGGCTGGGGGGCAGAGGAGAGCTGCCCATGGCACGTGGACAGGAAGCCAGCCGAGAGCAGCCGGGAGGGCAGAGGCACCCTCTGGGTCCCGCCCAGCAGCCCTGCCCTGTCCGGCCAGGTTCCACCTCCTAGAGCAAGTCAGCCCTCAGGCCCCAGAATCCACAGGTCCACAGGTCTCGCCAATGATCCTATGAAGCTTTAGGCCCACATCTAGATAGAAACTGCAACAGCAAATCTGATCCGACCCCCACACTTCAGGGGACACTCACCTGTGGTCTCTGTCAGCCCCAGGCACAGCCCACCACCCAATGCCTAGGAGCCCCCACACCTCTACCCTACCCCACTCTTCCCAGGGTGCCACTGGGGAGCTCTGCCCTGGATGGGACAACTTGCCCTCCCACTCCCCAGCTGTGAGTGGGAGAGCCCCAACAGTCCAACACCCACGTAAAGGGTGCTATTCCGTGCGCCTGCTCAGCCTGGGGTGATTTCTTGTTTCTCCTTTCCTCTCAGACCCTGTCTGGGCGGGATATCGAGCACCACCTCGTCAATGTCAGCAAGGTCTTTTTTCGTGACCTCATCAACGGCACCGTGCTGCAGACCAGGCTGGGAAGCCAGCTGCTCATCACTTCTGGCCGTCGTGAGCATCAGTACGATATGGTATGAGAAAATGTGGGCTTAGTGGGAGGGCTGGGTGCAGGGCACACACCACAGCGCCTGCCGCACAGGAGGTGCGCAGCCAGCCTGAGGGTGAAAGCAAACATGAAGCCACCGGGTAGGGCCCGTACAACCTCAAGCCCCTTGCAAATAGGCTTCCTCCAGGAGACGGCGGTAGAGAAGGACCTTGGTGTCTGTTATCTTGTCTGTCCCAGGCACTCACTCCCAAGCGCATGAACGATCCCAGTTCTGCCCCCTGTTGTAAGGACTTGGACAGTTACCCGGCTTCTGTCTCCATGTCCTCATCAGATTCAGGGGATGCTGGGGGCAGTGTTGGTATTGATAGTGGTGATTGCTTTGATCATGGTGATGGGGGGCAGGAAAACTTAGATGGAGAGCTTATTGGGTTTTAAATAAATACAAGTTAATTTATGGAGAAGTGAGACGAGACAGGGGCTTGGGCTGAGAACAATAAATTGTGGCACAGTGATTAAGAAATAAGTGGGAGAGACTAATGGCAGACAGGGACTGCGTAGTAGGTGCACGTGGATCCGTGCCCTCATCGGCTCCCAGTGGTGGTCAGGGTGTTCTCTGCCTGACACCAGGCAGCACCTTTCTCAGAGCAAACGTTACGACCTGCTTTCTGGTAGAAAGACGAGGTCAGAAAGCCCTGCCTACATCTGCTGCTTCTCAGGTGCCTTCCGCTCAGTAAGCCCAATTGCATATTTGAGGTGAGCTGTCCTGAACCCCTTTAGTGATGACAGTAGTGGTGTGAATTTGGAGGAGGAGGAGGAGGAGGATGGTGGCGGTGATGTGGATGACGACTGTGGCAGGGCCAGTGGTGACGATATGGACAGTGATGGTAGTGGTGACGGTAACAGTGGTGGTTAAGATGACGGTAATGGCCAGGACGGTGGCAGTGGTGACCAAAGGATGCTGATAAGCGGGGCATGGTGGCACACATCTGTAATCCCAGCACTTGGGAGGCTGAAGCAGGAGGACCGTTGCAAATTCAAGGCCAGCCTGGCCGACAAAGTGAGCTGAAGGCCGGCCTGTGCTGCGTAGCGAGTCCCTGTCTCAAACAGGACCAAAAGAAAGTCTAATCCAGGTGAGGACAATGGTGGTGGCATCATCGATCATAGTGACCATCCGTAACAGCTAAAGCACAGACAGTGGTGGAGGTCTCAGGATTCAGCCTTGCGATTTGCCAAGAATGATACCTGGAAGGCCCCCAAAGGGCAGGCAGCCCCCAGGAGGCAAAGGGCAGATGGTCACAGAGCCGCCAACACTCTTCTTTCCCTAGAGGAAGATATTTGTGGATGGCAGAGCCATCGTGCTGGCAGACATCTTGGCCACCAATGGAATCGTCCACATTATTTCGGAGCCTTTGGAGGCACCTCCAGCCCCAGAGGTGAGTGGCACCAAGGGCTCCTGGTGAGGCACCAGGCAGAGCCCAGCGTCCGTGTCCCTGGACACAGCAGGCTGCTGGGAAGGCTGTTCCATCCTTCCCCTAGGGAGACGGAAGCACCCCGCCTGGCCCATCCCATCCTGCTCCCACCCAACCCCCCATTCAGATTCAAGAATGAAAGGGGAAGGGCTGGCCCTTGGCCTGGAGGAGCAGGTGGAAGGGTGTGAGAAACCCTGGGAGCTCGGGGGTTACCTAGGAGCTCCAGGCTTCTCATCTGCAAAGTGCAGAGGCAGACAGCCTGCCTCCCTGGACTTTGGGGAAGACTGCAAGTTAAGGAATATAAAACAGGGCCGGGGATATAACTCGGCGGCATGAGCACCTGCCTGGAAAGCACAAGGTCCTGAGTTTGATTTCCAGTACCAAACGCCAACAACAATAAAAAGGAAATATGAAATAGCTCAAACATCTCTGGGACATAATACATGGTACACCTGGCTGTAGTCACTGTTCGTATTCTAACTTTTTCTCATAACTATAAAGAAAGCTCAAGCTGCTTCCTGCTGGAAATTTCCACAGTGTAGTAACCAGGCACCTAAGCTCCAAAGCCCAAGGGGCTCTGAGCCCACTTCTGCCAATTAGCTAGGTGATGCCAGGCAAGCACTCAGCCCTCTGTGCCTCAGTGTGTCCCCATTGCTTTGGCTTATGACATACTTCAATGGATTGTTTCATAAAATAGACCCTGGCAAAAGTGAGGGCAAACTTATTTTTACAATCCTGGGGACTGAGCCCAGGACCTCACAAAGCCAGGCGAGCACTGTGCCATTCAACTATGCCCTCCCAGGACCTAAACATTTTCTTATTTTCTTATTTTATGTTAGCCCTAAACTTGTTCTTATGTTTATCTCCATTGCCCCAAGATGCTCGGGGCCAGCGGGAGTAGGGGGACCCCGGCACACACACCTCTCTGAGGGAATCACTGGTTTTAAGAACTAACCGCTTGCCTCTCAATGTTCAGACTCCAACCCACACTGGCTTGAGGACAGGGGTATTCTGTGCCACCATCCTGGTCATTGGAGCAACCGCTTTGGCTGCCTATTCCTATGTCCGGCTCAGCCGCAGAGGCATTGGTTTCCGGCGCTTTAAGGTGAGAGGACAGTGGGAGTGTGGTGGTGGGGCACACGGTGGGGCTTCTGCTGCTATAACAGGATGCCTGGAGTGAGCAGGCATGAAGAACAGGGGCTTGCTGTGGCTCGTGGTTCTGGAGTCTAGGAGAGCCAAGGGCGTAGCTTCTGGTGAGGCCCTCGAGCCGCTTGACTTCTGCCATGCGCAGAAGCCCCCCTGCTGCCGCACTACACCCTGCCGTCATGGTAACTAACTTAGAGAGTGACTGCAAGAAAGTCGCGACCCCTCTTCCTGACCCCAGCACCTCATAAGGCCTGCCCCCTACAGCAGCGGCCACGTTTCAGCAGGGGTTACGGAGGGGACAGACCCCAGCAGGATCTCCTCAACACTAGGCTCCCGGCCGGCTGAGGCTCTGCAGCTCACCGCCTGCTTCAGAGACCTCAGCCAGTCAGCACTTGGCACTGAAGCAGAAGCAGACACCCCATCAGGCTTCCTGCCCTTGGGTGGGGTTCCTGCCCCTGGGAGAACCCAGAGCGGGTGCCTGCTGCCTGAGACAGGGCATGGTGAGGCCCGGAGGGCTCTGGGGCCCACATCAGGCATTCAGCAGTTGCATTCACCGGGGAGGATTCCCTAGACCAGCACCCGCTATGACCAGAGTGGGCTTTGAGACAGGCCCTAGGGCTGGGGGAGCAGGGCCAGAGACAGACACAGCCAGAGCCTCGCCCTGCAGCCAGCAAAGCAGCAGGGGCAAACCCGTGTGTCAGCGAGCCCTCCGGCGTGGTGACAAAGTGCGGGAGGTGGTAGGCTTAGCAGGAGGAATTCTCGTGGCTCACAGCTTCAGACGCTTCAGCCTCTGCTGTCTTAGCTCATTGTCTCTGAGCCTGGAAGCAGAGAAGAGGAGGCACCAGGGTCGGGTGACCTCACTGCCTCCCTGCTAGACCTGAACCCCTAAGCCGTCACCTCCCAGCAGCATGGCAGTTGAGGATGAAACCTTTAACAATGGGCTCTGGGGACACTGCTCCAAAGTGGAGCATCTCTCCTTGTGTGCTCTGAGCCCTACCTGCTCCTTGGGCTCCTGCTCCCCAACATGCTCCTGGGAAGGCTGTGCTGAACCCCCAGCAGCAGCTCCCTGCCTCTAACAGCTAACTGCTTATTTATCCACTCAGGAGCGAATCTCAGCAACAGTCTCCCTTTTCTGTTCCCATGGCTACCCCAGGCTAGGTGATTTATAAAGCACAGAGGTCTAAGCAGCTCCCTGTCCTGGAGGCTGAGGCCTAAGACCGGGCAGCCAGGCCTGGTGAGGGTCTTCTCACCACTGGACTCTGCAGAGTCCCATGATCATCTAGGGCACTACTTGGCAGGACAGAATCCTGGCTGGGGTGCCTCCTGTCTTCCGGTAGAGCCACAGACGCATCTGACTAGGGCCCCACCCTTGTGGCCTCCTCCAACCACTGTTACCTTCCAAATACTGAGCACAGGTTACGTTTCTACCTTCTTACACCTTGCGGTGAGGTTAGATTTCAGCATGAGTTCGATGAGGACATTCAACCCATAGCAACATCATCTTACCAAACATGTCCGTGCTGTAAACTCCTGTGATATCAGGTTCACAGTCAGGCCTACACCACTCTGGGGTCTTCTGACTCACGAGGCCACCAAGGCTACCCTGGGCCGTAGGGGATCCTGGCAGTGCAGGGCACAGGAGCACTTCCTGCTGGGGCAGAAATGCTTCTGTGCCCATCCTGTGGTGGACCACCCCTGGGCAGACACAGGATGCAGCTGAACTGAACACAGAAGATTTGTACACGTGCTTGGATGGTAATCTTATCTCAGTGAGGGCTATTGAAAAGAAAAGGTTCCCAGGCTGCAGAGACAGCTCAATGGACTAAGCACCTGCCTGGGCAAGCACAAGGACCCAGGTTCAATCCCCAGTACCACATGCCATACTGGCCCCACCCCCGAGCTTGCCAAGCTGGCCACCACGAACAGGCATGGTGGCGAAGCCCTGTAATCCCAGTGCTGGGGAGGCTGAAACAGGAGGATCACCACATGTCCAAGCTGTGCAATGAGACCCTGTACCAAATAGATACATAGGTAGAAAGAAAGAAAGTGCCCGAGGCACAGCAGCCTGCTGTCCCTGCCAATCTGAGACACTTCCACCCTGGGCACCGTCCCTGCTCTCAGCCCTCACACTGTCTCCATGAACAGCCAGAAGAGGACATCACTGTGGCAGTCTTCAGCAAGCAGTGCCAGGACAACATCTCCAACCCCACGTATGAGAGCGTGAGCGCAGAGCCTCCCCCACCTCCTGGCGACCCCGAGGTGAGTGGGCACTGGGACCTGCGTGTGTCCCAGCATGGTGGGAAGGCCAGCTGGCAACAGCCCCAAGGCTGGCGCAGCTGTCCCTAGCTCCTGGACTCCTTCAAGGGTGGTGCTGGAAGTCTGGAACTGTCAGAGCCAGGGGAACTAGAGCTGGCCAGGGCCAATCTGAGGACCAGGTGGGTGTGGCCAGGACTGAACTGCGCCACAAACATTTATAAGGTAGCATGTGCAGAATAAGACAGGACTGGGATGGCAAGATAGCTCAGCAACTAAGTGCCTGCTTAGGCAAGCACAGGGACTGGGTTCAATCCCCGGCACCACATGCAGTGCTGGCCCTGCCCTTAGGTGAGCTGAGCCAGCCACCAAGTCTGGGCGTGGTGGTGCATGCCTGTGATCCTAGTGCTGGGGAGGCTGACTATGAGGATCACTATGAGTCCAAGCTGCATAGTGATTCCCTGTGCCATGTACCAAATACGAGAGAGAGAGAGAGAGAGAGAGAGAGAGAGAGAGAGAGAGAGAGAGAGA